ACTGCATGTTTTCTGTTTTATTGATTATGTAACTTAAATCAACCTACAAAGCCTCAGATAGGCCAGAAAAGTGAACTATCCTCGAATTCAAGGATCCTAACAACCACGACAACATTAAAAATCAAGCATTTTCCAAAACTTCTGGGACTCGAACCGGCCCACAACCCTCTTCCCGCACCACTCAAACACCCTGATGTGAGCCCTTTAAAGGGGAGCACGGGAGGAAACCACTCACCTTGCAGGCTCTCGCCAACGTTTCAGCCAGTTGCAGCAGTTCGCCATCAGGCTAAACATCGCAGTCCGAGTCCGGGTGACAGCAATCAAGTGTTCATCCAGCAGCGAGTGTGTGTGTGTGTGTGTGTGTGTGTGACCTTACATACACAGCGAGCTAAGTCATGGTAGCTTCAGCAGCAGCTTCTCAAATCGGTGTATAACCGGGGTGGGGGGGTCTGCAACCGACCGCCACGCCCGTGAGCTAACGCGGGGGGGGGCTTCACATGCAAGCTGCGGCGTTCACGTTACCGGCGCGCACAGGTGTGTGTGTGTGTTTTTTTTTTTTTCACCGACGAGACGTGAGCTACTTCGGCGTTAGCTGCTGGTTGGAGCTGCCCAGCTTTGTTTACGCCGTCTCCTCCGCTGCTAGGCTGCGGACGCGCTTACGTCACGGCCCGCGTTCGACCAATCAGCGTCGTTGCGGGAGAGCGCGTCGTCAGTGGACGGTTCAGTGGGCTACAGCTGGAATAACAGCAGCTGGAGTAACAACATCTGGGGAAGTTATTATTGAAGTAACTCACACAAAAGTGGGGTTTATATGTGTATCTGACTCTTATACATCACAATTATTATTATTATTATATAACTATATACAGGATAGTATCTATTGTATGTGTATCTGACTCTTATATATCACAATTATTATTATATAACTATATACAGGATATTATCTATTGTATGTGTATCTGACTCTTATATATCACAATTATTATTATTATTATTATATAACTATATACAGGATATTATCTATTGTATGTGTATCTGACTCTTATATATCACAATTATTATTATATAACTATATACAGGATATTATCTATTGTATGTGTATCTGCTTGTATAAGATAAGAGATAAGATAATTCCTTTATTTATCCCCCTAAGGAGAAATTTATTTTGACACAGCAGCAATAGGGCAAAAGCAGCGCAAAAAACAGAAAACA